ATTAAAAATTTTTCATTAAAAATATCTTTACATTAATTTTGAATATCATGAAGTAATTTTGACTAGAGAATCATGCTTTTTGTATAAGAACAGATACATTTATGATACCAACAAACTATATCTTTATGTTAATTCTTTGTTTTATCGCCTTTTTTTTAATGCGCGTGACGTAATACAAATATACACATGTACTTACGTCAACTAAAAAGACGCATAAAATCGAATTTAATTATCATCATTACTTACTGTGCTATCTTCATGCTAATCAAGAATTTTTTTTCTTAATTGTGAAATATAAAACTACGATACGTTATTTATATCAGGATGATTTTGCAAATGATTTTTTTCCAATTTTTTTATTTTAATATTATTTTTAGATATTTGATTTAATAATTTTTACTTATTTCATATCTTTGCAAGCATATTATCATTTTAAAATTTGAATAATTTACTTATTAATAAGATAAATAATAGATAAATAGTAAATTTTTCTTACAGAAAAGAATATTATCATTTTTTTTTCTTCCAATAATTATAATTTCTATCTCTATCTCTTAATTGAATCTCTATCAAACACAGTATATATTCTTTGAAATTGATATTAACTGTTACCTATAAGATCATATAATCCGATTATTATATTATTTTAATTATATTAATTTTTGATCATAATTTTTTTATTGAATAATTTTCATACTCTTCGATTAAAAATTTCTATTATAATCTCAATCATTGATAATTTATGATATTATATTACAACACAATTTTCATTTGATAATTGTTCGTTTTATTTTTTTTTATCATTTTTTTATCGTGTATTTTTTAATTAAAGTAGCTATAATTATTATACTACATACTCGTTGTTTACAAACGAATGTTTATATCCAAATATGCAAACTCGGCGAAATTACATTATTTGCAGAACATTGAATTTCACTCTTGAGATTAAAATTATCAACTCTTGCGAGATAATAAAGGCAATGTCACGAATGCGATGACTAATCGACTAAATTATTCGTTTCTAATTTTATAAAATCAAGCTAATTCACAAAATTTTAACCATATCATTATTGTTTTATTTCAATTATATAAAAACACCGAATTATAATTACTTTTAAAGTAATATATCCTTTAAAAAAATATAAAATATAGAAATTTTTTCATTTAATAAATATAATTAAATGAAAAATTCAGATTTTCTTGAATCTAATACTATTCTTAGTTTTTCCTTTCAATTTTTTTAAAATAAAAATGTTACAAAATGATGGAATTTTCAAATAAAATTTCTTATATATTTTAACAGAATAATTTAATATAATAGTAATATTTATAAATATTATTTTAATTTAATTTTGTATTCATGATACGTCATGTATACAAGATGAACGATATCGTTCATGATACATCGTATGACGTTTTTCATTTATTTTAATACATGGACTCATCTCTTCAGGTATAGATATAAATTCATGAATCATCTTATAATAAAATTGTATAATAATCATAATATAATAGTCACGATTAATATATAATATACATATAATAATATAATAATATAATTTGAAATTATTAATTAATTAATATTATTATATTGTAGAATATTCATATTACTATGAAAATTTTCAATAATGTACTGTAACTATTTAAATAATTGTTCACCAATCAATGTACTTATAATACTTAAATATGTAGGAATGCTAAAACGTCTGGGAAATATTCGTAACAGGTAATTTTAACGCTAATAATAAATTTATCTTGTTTGAGCAACACTCGAGACTTCAGACAGATATAAAGATAAAAAATGTTTTCTATCTCGTAATAATGAGTCATATTTAATTTGTGTTAATGGAATTGCAATATTTGCTTATTTATTTCAATTATTTTTCTACATGTTTTGATAGCAAAGATAAAAATAAGATATGACAATTTAAATTTCTAATATGAGATCAATTTTAACATTAAAAATATATTAATTATTAATGATATATGATAAAAAAAGATCAAAAATTAAATTTTGTATTCATGATATGAAAAACTTCAAGTAAACTTTTTTAACTAATAATCAAAGTAAAAATAATTGTACAATTTCTATTCTATTTTCTCATTCTAATATCTTGAAAATCATACATACTTCAACAAAATCGATTTTTTTCTAAAATTCTCTAATAAATTGTTTATCAGAACAATAACATAAATTAAAATTTCAATCCTTGCAATACCTAAAAAATTAAAAAATTAAATTAAATTTCAAAGATTTCAAATAAATTTTTTTTCAGTAATATTCACAAATTATAAGATTAAAATAATTACATAATTTCTGATTCCAATATTCTGGACACCCTATATATAGATGCTTCAACAAAATCTACTCAGGTATTCCCAAAACGTTGCACGGAACAAACGGTTCCGTGGCCACCAACGTTAATTTATTCTCGTTTTTAATCTCCTTCCCATCCAAATAGTCCGATGGAGCAACGTTCAGAGTTTCCACTCAAGGCCTTCTCCAACGAGATCGTGCCAGCCTCTGGTTTAATGACATTTGAAAGGATCCAGGAAAAAGGTCAAGATGCATCGATGCGGCCACATTGTGGAGGATTCGTGCCGACTTCGCAAGATGAGCACGAAATCTCTCTGTCCTGTCTTTCTCTCTCTCTCTTCCTCCCTTTACCCTTTGGACAAACCAACTCTCTTTCTCTGTCTTTATCCATCTCTAACCAACGTTAAAGGCCGTTCTTCCATCTCTGTCTTCGAGTCAGTAAAACCGGTGCAAAAGGTAGCCACGAAGCGAGAGAGCAAGAAGTGAAACTTCTCGCGGGGAATGGCGATTTGTCTGGGCGAAAACAATAGAAGGTCAGTAGATTTCAGAGGCAACACGTGAGGTAGGGAGCACCACGGTGTGTCTGTATGGGGGCATGTTTATGCAACTAGATGCAACGCGGCTGGATAGATTTTCCTTAAAGCAATTCACGTTCCAGCTACCGTGGATCGAAAATTTATTGATCGAAGTCGTGCGATAAATAAGCGGGCTCGCGTGATCTGTAAGAGAGTTGAGAATATTACTTTAAGATCGTTGGAACTTTGAAGATTGTTAATTTTTCGTTGAAATTGAATAATCTGGAAATTTTTTGAAAATATGAAATAAATTTTTTTGTCTAATTGATTGCACATTTTGGTTATTGATCGAGAATTTGATTGATTGAAAATAATATTGATAAAATTGAAAATATATAATATCGAAAATAATTTTTCATTGAAATAAAATTGGAAAATTTGAATTTGAAATAGATTTTTAATTTAAAAATCACAAAAGAAATGTTATCATTTTGTTAATTCTTTTTCAACATTCCATAATATTGTGGAATGAAAATTTGTAAATTTTATAAGATTTATGCAATAACAATCTAAAATAAAATATACAAAAAATTTATTTGAACATACTGTATAGTGTTAACAATAATACATAAATAACTTGCACATTAATTTACTCAGTAGTGAAAAATATGGAAAAAACAAGTTACGAAAATTTTTTTATAGAAACAAGTTTTATACATGTATTCCATTAATATTTCAGTTGGTAGTTGAGGATTGCTTAATCGATCGAGCACGAATCGATCGGTGTTTCATTTAATAAAAAGAGGCTAATAGGATTGCAAAATCGCGTGCAACTAAATATACGATTACATATCTCAGCTAATAGATTTTTTAACATTGATTAAATTAATTTTTGATGAGATTTTAATCATTAATCTTTTTTTGAATATAAATTCATATAAAACATACATGATTACAAATCATTGTTTTTTTCATATATAATAAATGTATGAAAAAGATGAAATAAAAAAGTTTATTATTTCTGATTAATAAAATAGCATATAAATTTATATTTAAATTTAATATATATTTATTTTTTAATAATTTTTAATACTGAAAAAATAGCCCAATAAAATAATTGACAAAATTAAAGAATAGTTATAAATAGATATAATAGAAAGATGCGTAATTATATGTAGAAAGATAAGTATTATGCTACGTATTCATATATTGCGGTAAGCTAGAATCCAAGACGTTCAATATTCGAATAATAATCCGAATATTGTACGATATTCGATATAATGCAATCCATGCATTTAATACAATAGATTATTATAGCTAGGATGTTCCAACCAACTACGCGTAAAATTTGAGCTAAATCGATGACCCAAATATCACAAGTTCCCCAGTTTCGCATGAAACAACTTGTTACAAAAATCGAACTCTCATTCAAGAAAATAACGAATCATTTTTCTTTAACATTTGCAATAAATATATATAAGTAACTCTAAATTTTTTCCGAATTTTTGAAAGAGCAAAATTTTGAAAATATTTAAAATAAAGAATCTAATCTAAAATTTTGTTTATTAATCTAAAATCTGTGACAAATCTTTCTCAAAGGGATATAACCTAACCTAACAATCTTGCATCACTGGATACGATCGAAAAGAACCTTATAACTCGTAGTAAGACGATCCCAGGCTATCGTCTACCTGAGGATGTCCCGCAGGATTTATTACCATAGCTAAGAGTCGACATCTCTTCTCTTAACACGCACCTGGAGATATAATAGCCACCTTGTCTATTAAGGATCAAGAAAAGAGATCTGACGGTCGGCTTACGAACATGTTGGGACATGGTTAGGCGAAGAACTTCGTTGAGGGAGGTTAGGAAACAACGATGACGTGATACTCACATGAACGATTCGATCCGAGGCAACTTCTTACGTGAGGACCATCTGAAATGCTGATAGCCATAAAGGATCCTCTTTAAAATGAAAATATATTTTGGGATATCTTTTCCCACGAAAATGTGTGCAAATGAGTATGAATATTTCTTGCTGCTATAGCATAGAACATTCAAAAAAGTATGTGAAGATTTTTATTTGAATTTTTTAGTATAATTTCATTTTAATATGAAAAATATCCTTTGAATTATTATCAACTCTATTTTTCTTGAAATTTTAACACATTAAGATTCTTTATATATTAGAACAATAACAAATAATAAACTTTTCACTTTTACATTTCTGACACTTTTTGACTCTTTACATTTCTGCAAAGATTTTATCTTCGGTTAATGTGTTAAATATAAATTCATTATTGATCTCTAATTAAATCCAAGATATAAAGAGACATAAAACAAATTGGAAAAAACGTTACAAAATTGCAATTCACTGTTTTACACAATATTATGTTGTAAATTAATATATTAGATCCCGAAATCAGTCATAAAACGAAGTAGCGGTTTTATGGGAGACAACATCGAAACGAGACGAGCTGTACTTTGGGGCAGGTTTACAAATACGTGGATCAATTCCAGGTTTATCGTTCGGCAGCGGCGATTGGTCGACTCTCGACGGTTCGGTTCTACATATAAAACATAGTTACGCGTACAAATGCGCGCATACATGTGTAGAATCGTATATAAACATATATCATATATACATAATGAACATGGATTCTATAACCCGGGTGTGTGTATACCGCCATAATAATTCAGTCTCGAACGTCGCTCTCTCCGCAGTGACCGCAACCTGCAAAGCTGACGAAACACGAGCAAATCAACTGTCGCAGCTATTTTCTGCCTAGTTACGTAAATTAATATTAGAAACGATACTGAAATTATTGTTTCATCGAGACGGATGCGGTGCGCACCGCGATCCTGAGCCTATCAACGTGACAACCATGTTTCGACGGATATTGTGGATTTCAGGTTATGGAAAGGATAATGATTTGTTGGATATTTGATAATGATTGTTTGGAACAGAATTAAGTGCTATTGAAATGATGTTTCATTCAATTGATTACATAATCGATTACAATAAGATCGTTTTTGCATTTGGTATTTGTTATAATTAGTTCAGATACTTTTATCTAAAGGTATGTATATTGTTTTAAATATATATTTTCATTTCGAATAAGAATCTATTTTATTTTAGGTAATTTAAATATATTAATTAAATTAATTTTTTGTTTACTTAATATTCAAACATCTTGTTTATTTTGAATATTGTATATAATCAAAATCATACAAAAAAATTGTTGGTTATATGTAAAAAAAGAATGTTTGATTAATAGTATATTTGAGTTTGCAAATTTGAATCGATATTTCAATCTTATTTCTCATATGTTAGATGATAAAAGATTCGAAGCGATATGTTATTTGTTAAACGATTAGTTCAACCAGTTATATTATTTTAAATTGTCAACTAAGTCTTTCTCCTTAAAACATAACATCCAAAATGGCTACCACCTACAATTCTGTCAGTTTGATAAATGCGGCTGTCCTTGCTTATTATAGAACCGAAAATTCGAAATAAGAAACGGAATAGAAGTGTAATGGAATTAAGCTAAAGAGTTATACAAAAACAAAATTTTATAAATTGCTATTTATTTTTATCATGATAATCCATTTTAGTTAATTGATAGATTTCTTTTCAAAATTTCAATATTGGTATAGTTATTAATTTAGTAAAAAATATTGATAAATTTTTTACAATAGAGTATGACAAATTCATTAATCAAATAATTTTTGTTTTAAAGAATATTTCATCACCTGATTGACAATTTTAACTTATACGATAGATTTAGTATGTTACACATAAAACAGTTTAGATAACGTTACGTCAATATTAAAAGTATAACGAACTATATTTATCGTAGATAATATTACTTTTAATACCGATATATCTGCGGTATTAGCGAATCAATCATCGAACACGTCATTAATCTTCTTTGGGAATTAAAAACAGTATATTTTATGATGCCAATCGAATACTTTGATAAATATATTCTCTCTTCGGCGAATTATTTTATAATCGACAATATTTAAAATAAAGTAATTATATAAAAAAAATATATAATTTAAATACGGCGAACAAATTTAAAATTAAAATTATAGAATAGATTATCTATTATTTAAAAAAAGTTTTTTTGAATCAAATTCAATATTTTCTAAATTGTTAATTATAAAAAAATTTAAGAAAAATTCAGTTCGAGAAGTCCAATATTTGATATTTAAATTTTCAAACGAAAATACAATCTCAGAGAAAATAAATGAAATTAAATAAAAAATAAAACTTCTTTTGAATAAATAATCTAATTTCTTCTAAAGAATTATTCCATTAATAAATCTTCTTCCTTTACACTTTCAGCATGTCATCAAATAAAAAATCATTTTCCAACATAGACTATATCACATAATAATCACTTTTGACCAATGTGTGATTGCGATTACAACCTTTAAATTAGAAATTCGCCGCGAACGAGAATTTCACGACCGTTGTATACCACACATGTGTACTACACGCATCGCCGACGGTACTAGCTGTGGCAACGATGGAAAACGGTGATCGCAACAGCGGCACGCAAAGTGAGCCGACAAAGGCGTCTTATCGCGGTTAATTTATATTTCAAAAGGTTACTGGTACCATCGAAAGAACGTAGAAACTCTCTCGGCGCTATTCCACAAGAAATTCTATCTGTCGAAAGATTTATCAATGCATCCAAGATGATTTTGAGAATTTTTCTTATTATTAATTTTTTTCGTTGTAATATATACAAAATGGCGGACACTGGAACATGTAAGCGCGGGTAATTTGATTTTTATATGAGCGTTCAATAAGTTTATGAAAATTTTACCAAGCAGGTATTTATTATTTTATATTAATTTAATTATTTCATGATTAATAAAATAATTTTAAAAATTGTTTATAATTTATGAATATAAAATCTTTAGAGAAATTTTTCGTTCAATTTTCTTAATAATTAAATATTGTTCTCTTTAACTGAATAATCTTTCAATATCTAATTAATAAGAAAACTAACAGTTATATCTTCCAGATCCAATCTCGACGTTCAATTCCATCGAACACAAAATATCATGGTGAAACATGTGCAACGTATTAACGTTCTTAGGTTAATCGATCTCTGTGGAAGATCGAGGCAATTAACGCCAGTATCGCCAGTCGATGATGAACATTCGTCATCCGAAGACCGGTTTCTATCGGATGATTCACCATCGTGGATTCTATAAAATCCCACCAACAATGTTCCTGTCATGGATTTTCTTTTGCTTTTACCACGTACATGATCTTTTTTTCTTTTTCTTTTTTTATCATTTTTATAAATCCTTATCATGTTTTCTTTTAAAATTCAAACAAAGTAGATATTATCGAATAGCATAGCTTCCAGGAAGGAATGAAAAATGTTTGAAACGGTTCTCCGGATTCTTCGTCGCGGTATTATGTTCGTAATAATTATTCGAAGTCGGTCGGCATCTTGGTGGTAATAACTAGGTCCGTAATAGCCATTTGAAATTGAAATAAGATGTAACGATTCGTGGTAATTTTATTTGGCATTTCTATTGAAACGGGATTATATAGAAAAAGATATCGATTTCAGATCGAATTTTATTATTAAATTGCAAATGAAAATTTGATATAATATATAAATAATATTATATAATATTGAATATTTAATAATAATATTATAATATTTAAAATTTTATATTATATAAATTTTGAATTTATGTTTATTGTATAATATATCAGATCAACTTAGGTTAGATTAGGTTAAATTTAACTTATGTTAAATTCAAATAAGATATATAACTAATCGTGATAACTTTATTTATGTCTTGATTGGGAATGAGATTATATAAAAAGAGATATAGATTTCAAATCAATTTTATTATTAAGTAAATGAAAAAATTGACATGATATTTGGAATGTTATGTATTATAAATTTTGAGTTTGTTTATCATATGATATAGGTTAAGTTTAGGTTATGTTCTTATAATTTAATCAAGTTAAGTTATTGTTTCCTTATTATATCAGATTAGATTATTACTTTTTTATTAGATTATTACTATTTTATTATATTATTAAATATCTTATATTTAGCTTTAAGTCTCGAAGGATGACTGAATGCTCATTATTAGTAACGTAGCGATCCACGCTCCGCCATTTTCTCAATCAACAATCGAGATCAACCTCGAAGCCTTCTCTAACCTCAAACATCGATCAATTCTCGTCAACGTTCCCGCAAAAGGGAACGCAACGCGTGGCACGACTTTTACAAAGTAGGGATAAGTTCACCACACGCGGATACACTCTCCACCACGACACTATTCAATTTCTCATTCAGGATATCATGCATCATCTTTTGAGCTTAAAAATTATCTCTTCGATCTTCCAGGATTTCCGTGGCATGGCGTCTTGCACAATCTTCTCGAATCGTCATAAATCATGTCGACGGATTGCGTGGGCGGCTATGGAACACGCTCTAACCCCCTTCCAAGTGATGCATAGTAACATTTTACAGGATTTTTACGCACCGTCACAATTCATCCGTTAATGACACCGACACTGGTAAAAGTATAATAATAATAATAATTATTATTATTATCTTTTTATTCTTTCTTTTTCCTTTTTTTCGAGCGAGAATTAATCAAGCGTGAAAATATATTGAACCGTTATGGTTTTATACGATTTAATATATGCGTTGACAAGTAAATTATTCTTTGTAGAAATTGCATTTAAAATGTATATTGTAATTTATCTTTGTAATTTTTTTGAATTTTTTTTTTTTTTTATTATTAATTTCGAACATTAAAACCTTTGTAATTTATATAGCTTTTTATTGCAAGATTTTTTTTTTAGTATTATTTTTAGTATTCTCACTTTCTTTTTGATATTTAATGCAATGAGTAATTTATAAATGTTATAGTCGTGAAATTAAATTTAGCTTGACAATTTATTTATTTATCTTTTTAACTTTTTAATTGGTCAGATGAGCACTCTTTTGAAAGAGTGTCAATCAAGCTTAAATTTGAAAATACCTAATCAATTAAATAAGAATTAACTCTAATTCAAAATAAATATAATTTTAACTGTATAACACGAAATCAAAGATTCGCGAATTTTTAACATTCAACGCAATCAAAGAAATACGAATATGTAATTATATTGGTGAAAATATAACGAAAATGTAACGAGAGTACAAAAAAAAAGGCGAACTCACTCATTATGTACACGCAATCTGGCATTCCGTGTGTCGAACGTATAAAGAGCGCCTCTTAAAAGTGTGTTCAGTATGGACGAAAAATCTGCTTGATAAAATGGACTTACCTGAAACAAAGGAAAAAAAAAAAAACATTTAAAAATATTACTGAAATATATATATATATATTTATTTATCACATATATGTTCTTCCCTTAGTGCAACTTTTTCGATTATTAAAAAATAAAAATTTTTTTATTAAAATAAAAAAATGATAATTAATGTCATAGTTCAATGCAGATATGTTGCATCGGCGATGAACGAAATTCCTATGTCTCTACCTACGAGGGAACTTAATGAAAGAAAGCATCAACTCTATGCGGACGTAGCACACGCCTTTTCGTTATTTCTCATAATCGCCCACGCTTGGCCGCTCGCCAGCCAAGAGACCCTGGTTTCCCGAGAATCGAAAATAATCACGTCTTCCTCCTCCGCCTTTTCCTCTTCCTTTCGTACGCGTGAATCGTCCGAGGAAAGCGGGAAAGCTAATTTAATTAACGATCCATTTCGCCACTCTCTGTCTTCGAATTATTTTACGCCTTTGAAATAATTAAATTTACGACGAGAAAGTACGCTTCTCCTGTGAACGATAGTATTTTAAGAAGAAGTGACAGAATTGATCGTAAAAATGATTGGATCCGTGGATCAGGGGTTTACTTTGGAATTAGTAAACGAAGTCAAATTGATTGATTCACAATTTTTTGTAATTTGCAATTGAATTACATAATCTCGAAATTAAAATATTCATTCTGTTTAAAAATAAATATACGTCTGAATATTTTTTAAAATTAACAAGTACGTGAATATATATGATTTATGGTTAGATATTATCCTTTCTTATTAGTTTTTTCAATATGTGATAACAGTCAACAGGAAATGAAACAGGAAAGAAAAAAAACGAAGATCTTATCGTACCGTGAAACGTATCGTAATATACGATCATAAATGCTTATTATCTAGTAAAAAACGTACGAGGGATAAGAACGGTCAATTACATGAAACTATAATTAACATATTAATGAATCGATTCGAACTTAATAATATATTTATTCTGATACAAAATGTCAATATATTCATATAGGATATCTTTGCAGAGTTGATTCTGCAAAGCCCAAAATAAACGCAACAGTTAATATATAAAAATATCATTTAAGACGTATTTATTAAGCAATTTAAATTTACATCAAATGAGACGAAACAAAAATGGTATGAAAGATCATATCAATACCATTTTAATCTTTAATTTCTTTAAGAATTACAAATTAATATTGATAAATCATTAAATAACTATTCTTTTTATATTGTAAAGTATACCATAATAATTCATAAATTCATTTAATCTAGTTAAGATCAATGATAAATTTCATTCCAAACATGCTTGTCTATCAATCAATCTATCTCTAAAAATTTTCCATCGACGACACCAACTAAATTTGGTGCGCACAATGTATCTGCACATGTATCAACAGACGTGCCCCGCGATGCAAATTTGCATCTGGTTGCGCAACCGCGCTCTCGGACATGGTCGCAAAAATACAGTCATACTATATCGATCGATGTGTAATCGATGAATCTAATAATGGCCTGAGCCGCTATTATTCAAGATCGACGCTTGTGCAGCACGCGGTCAAAATCCATTCGTGAAATCAACGCGGTTGAGAAAAGATATATATTCCCCTTTACAAACTGGCGAAACGTTTCGTTGGTGGTAGGCGGCCGAGCGTGGGTCTCGGTGGCCTCTCTACCGCGATTTAAATATTTAACTCCGCTTAAACGTGAGCGAGAGCCAACCATTACTCGCGCGAGCGATAATTTTCATCCGCGGGTAAAACTCGCTTGGGAAAATCGACCGACCGCATGAATCATCCTCCTACCTGATTTCCAATCTAACTGATGAGAACCAATGGGAAAATCTCATTGGCACTCTTGGTTTTGCATTTGTTAGGTTAGGTAATACTAGTTCTCTGCCTATTTAATTGGAATCTTATTTTTTTATTTGTGTAGTGATTAGATAATCATCTACCTTGTTATTATTACATTATCGTTACGAGCAGTAATAAATAAAGTGTGCGAAGCCAAATTTGTAATACTACTGGCCTATTGGCTGTAAATTAAGAAGTAGGAAAAGAAGATCACATTTCTAATTTTCGACGATAACGAGGAGTCAAAAATCGTACGTCATAATTCGAAGTAAAAATGTATGTAAACGGTTCGAAAAGCGAAAATGCACAGATACATTGCAAACATATATAAATTGAATTAAAAAACTGATATAAAATAAAGATGTTACATTCGAAGATAAATTTTACGATTGAAAATAATCGTGTTATTATTTAATATATATATTATATATATTTAATAATAAAATTACATGAAATTGTCACGTGACTCGTAAATCTACACTTCGGGAGAAATCGGAAAAATTCGGATAGGATCGGCTGGAATCTCGAAGTACATGGTTGATGATTTCGTGTCAATTCGGCAATAATTGAATGCAGTAGTCTCTATAATATTAATTTTATTATAAAGTAAGTGATGAAATATTTAGAAAACAAATTAAATCGCTTCTACGTAATATTATATTAATTTTAATTCATAATTTATTTTTCTTGAAATATTTTACAGATTAAATTTTTCAATATTCCATCTTTAAATAACCTATATCATTTAAAGTGAGTTAAGAAAATTTACTTTAAGATTCAATATACAATTAGAAGTAATTTTGTTCGCATAGAATAATAGAAATATACATTTAAACTTTGCAGAGATTATCTAACGGAAGAAGACTAGCAATTGTCACAAAGTATAATTCATCTACCCACAATTACTTGAGTTTAAATGGATTGTTCTCTCTAGGGATGAATTATGTTCCTCATTAAAACGCCTGTTGAAAAGATTATATAAAATCAAGTTGGAAAGGTAAAATACTAATATTTTTTTCTCGAAATCTTTTAAAAAATAAGATCTTGTAAACAAAACAAGTACAATTGAAATAATTTTAATTTATGATACATTTATAATGCCTTCATTTACATACACATGGTTCTCTCTAAATATGTTTTATACGATAAAATTTAAGTGATTTGACCTTATAACAAGAATAAATTATTAATGCTTCCCATTTAAAATAGGGAAATTTAAAATCGCAGCAATTTAACCTGAAGCTTGTACATCTAATATTGTATATATCTTAAATTTCAACCTTTCTATTGTCGATAATTGCTGATGTATTATTCATTTGTTCCAATCTCGCGCCGGTATTAACGAGCGAACTATCGACAAAGTGGGCATTAAATATGTAAAGCTTTTCAACTTTAACAAAATATAAAAGTTGTAAATTATTTCACTGCATTTTCAACCATGAGATAAAATGAACAATTTTATAATTTTGTTGCAAGATTTTATAATCAGAGTTAATGATACAATTTTATAATTAAATATGATCTATTAAAATGAAACTATAATTCTAACAATTTAATTATTAATTTTAATAAAAAAAAATTTTTCTCTGTAAAAATTTTTAAAATAATCTAAAATACATTTTTACAAAAAAATATATATATTTTTGCGAGATAAGCGACATAAGATGAATGTCTATAAATTTTAACGAATGATTTTCAATATCCTTGCAATCGATCTCAGTTTAAAATTAATGCGTGCTAACAACCCTGAGCCCTACTACTAAAATTTGTAATTTTGCCAATAGCTTACGTGACAGCTTAGACTTCTTCGAATCAAATAGACGCCTTGAAACGTTCTGTCCTTTGAGCTATTTTAAATAAACAATTCTATATTTTGCATTTCATTTCCTATAAAGTATTTTTCCATTCTATGCTTAAAATATTAACAGAACATGTAAAAATTTTTCCTATTATTTTCATCATTTCACAATTAAAAAATAATAATCTTTTCCAATTTTCGAAATTTCGAGATGCAATATTCTATGGTAAATTGAAAATTTCTCTATTATATTCTTATTTTCGTCATAATTAGAGATAGAATATATTCCAAGATATATGATAAATTGAAAATTTTCTATCTTTTATCCTTGAAATTTCGAAACGAAAAACAAACATCCCTCGATGGCTTCGTTAGCCATCGGAAGCTGAGTCGAGGGCCGGAAACGAGATAATCGAAATTGCACGCGCGCCAAGAACCTCTTGGATTGGGACTTTGCGTAGAAAGCGAAATGCGCTCGAATCTCGACGCATCCGGTCTCGAGCCACTTGCCAAAATCCCCACCATTGTGGAAACTTCATTCATGACTCGTCCCGTGTGCAGGTGTGCTCGTTTATTAAGTCACCGGGGAGGGGAAACGTAACGCGCAAAAATATCAGCCTTTGATCCTACAATAAAAGGAAAATGCAATCCACCGTTCTTCTTATTATTTTGAATTAACTGACTACCCTATCTTAATGCTTTAAACTATTATGTCTACATTCACGTGATTCATCATGAAAATAAGTAAGTAAAGACAAACATATTCAAAAATAAAAAACACTATAAACATATATTAAAATATACAAATAAACTAAGCATACAAGATTGTGAATAATTAATATATGCATAATTACAAAGAATTTTAATCAACTTTGGTATTACTTGATATTCATCAAATTCATTCTATTAAAATATACAAATAAACTAATAACATAAGCATATAAAATTGGGTGAATAATTAATATATGCATAATTATTACAAAAAATTTTAATTTTGTGACAAACTATTATTTGATATTCCAAGTTCATTCTGTTAAAAAGTACAAATAAATTAATAACATAAGTATAAGTAAGATTGTGAATAATTAATATAATGCATAATTACTACAAAGAATTTTAATCAACTTTGGTATTACTTGATATTCATTAAATTCATTCTGTTAAAATATACAAATAAACTAATAACATATAAACTAATAAGCATAAGGTTGGGTGAATAATTAATATATGCATAATTATTTTACAAAGAATTTTAATTTTGTGACAAACTATTACTTGATATTCCAAGTTCATTCTGTTAAAAAGTAAATAAACTAATAACATAAGTATAAGTATAAGTAAGATTGTGAGTAATTAATATAATACATAATTATTACAAAGAATTTTATTTTGGTATTACTTTTGGTATTACTTGATTCATCAAATTCATTCTGTTAAAATATACAAATAAACTAATAACATAAGCATATAAGCTTGGGTGAATAATTAATATATGCCTAATTATTACAAAGAATTTTAATCAACTTTGGTATTACTTGATTCATCAAATTCATTCTGTTAAAATATACACATAAACTAATAACATAAGATTGGGTGAATAATTAATGTATGCATAATTATTACAAAAAATTCTAATTTTGTGACAAACTATTACTTGATATTCTAAGTGCATTCTGTTAAAAA